AAAGAGTGCAAAGAGCAGAATCTGCCAGAAGAAGGAGAATCTTTGGAGCCCAAAGATCAGAAAAACAAGGAACGAAATGAGCAGGAACGACAACTGCAGAGGGAAGAGCTCAAACTGGAGGCTCTATCATCAGCTTTCGGATCAGAGATATCTTCTGTTCCCAGGCATACTGTGGGCCTGTGTGGTTTGGAGAATGGTTTTTTGGCTGAGCAAACAGGATCAGCATTTCTTCTTGGGGAACCTATCTCTGTGGATCAGCATCCTGGTGAGGATGTACTGCTGAAAACTCATGTCACAGAAGCAGGTTCTGGATGTCAGCCACCCGCTATCAGCCCTCTGTCCTCAAATAACCTGAACCCAGTGGATGAAACTCTAATGGCACCTCCACACACATGCCATATCTCTGACCAGGCAGAAGACCTAGAAGACTCTGGCCGCTTTTCTATCGGTGGTCAGGATATTGGAGAAGCTGACTGGGATGATAGGACAAGACTGGGCAGGGAGGATGAGCACAGTGATGGGCATGGAAATGTTGTCCAGAGGTTTGATAAAAGAGATGCATCACTCCATGGAGGAGTGGCAGCACCTTCTAGCGCAGAGAACTCAGAGGTTTCTGTTTCAGCACACCTTTCCTCTGGTACCAAGAACTTGGAGCCACCTGATCCCATAGATCCTCATCCCATTACAGAAAATTTGGGAAAAGCTGAACTTCAGGACTTCATTCCAGCTTTACCCTCAGAGCTCACCTCTGTGGCTTCAACATCTGGCCTACAGCAAGAGGGTGATAGTGGAACAGCCTCTGTGATCCCTGAGGACTGTCCTGGCACCAGCCTGAACAAACTGCTAGACTCTGTAGAGAAGCCAGCCAACCAAGCTGCTTCTGTACAAGTGCGGGGCCCAACATCAGGGGAAACTGCTATTGTAAGTACTGATCCAAGGGAAGCCAACACTTCCCATGAACTCCTTACTTCTGAGGAAGGCCTTCATGAAGACCTTAGTGGCCCGTCTTCTTTCTCTGTAATATACACGAGCTGTCTTCCTTTAGAGGGGAGCCTTCCTAAGGATAGGAGGACTGTGGCTATCATTGCAGGGCCTCTGGAACCACCCCAAACACCAGGCAGGACTTCCACTCCCCTGAACCACCCAGAGACAATTCAGCAAAACCCCCCAGAAAAAAGGGCCGTTATCCAAGGAGAAGAAACGGGAGCAAATGTGGATCATGAAGCACAACAAATGCCTTTACTTGATCAGTCTGACTGCAGTTTAAACCAAAAAGAGCCTGGATCCAGAATCTCCAGTGTCCTGAGCACCCTAACTTGGCCCTCTGAAGAAGATATGGTCCTTGCCGTGAACGAGCAAGAACAACCTCTGTCCCTTGTGTCCCACTCAAGCCTACCTCTGGTGTCTGAGCCTGATGCCAAACAGCTTCCTCATCCTCCTTCCCATGTCCAAAGCCCCAGTCAAGCTCAGGCCCCTACACTTAATGCAAATCACCTTGCTCAACCTCCAGCCCTTGAAAGTTACCAGCCGCTGGCTCCTGTGCCCTACTCCAGGCCACATCTCAACTGTGGTATGGACGATGATAAGTTACTAGCCATTCACCCTACTATAAGCCATCCTCTCCGGACTGCCGCCTCTGTGTCTGATTCTAACACTGGGGCCTCTGCTTCTGATGGAGAAGATGTAGCAGAGAAAGATGACCTTGTTCCAGTAACTAGAGGGTGGGATCTCGGTGACTTAGGTACCCATGATATAGAAACTTCTGATGACTCAGGGGTCAGTTTGTTGGCCAAAAGCTTTTCTGCTGTTGGAAACGAAGCGTTGGCTGGCTGCTCTGAGACCGGCCCTGAAACAGCAGACCAGCACATGGATGTACAGTGTGGAAAATCCTCACCTGACCACCCTTCTTGGCCCTCACTGGAAGGCCTGATAACATCCACAGAGTCCAAGAGCAGAGACTCTGCACAGCCACTCCCAATGCTAGCATTCACCAATCCAATCCACTTCCTCCAGCTCAGCCCTCCATCACCACCAACCACCAGAACAACCTGCCAAGAGGAGGAGGTCTCAGGGGAGCTGCGATGGGAGCAACAGGCAGGCATCTTCGGTGTGGACACAAGGAACATCCAAGCTCCATTGGCAATCACAGAGAAAACAGAAGGTGAGAGGAGGGTCAAGCAAAGGCTGGAAGGAGAAGGAGAACACCACTTGGTATCTCAGCCAAAGGAGGAAATGCCCAGACATTCACCCTTGGAAAAATCATCAAGTTGGCCAGACAAAAAAATGATCAGGGTAGTTGCACAGGAGCCAGCAGCCAATCAAGAAAACCCAATTAAACGCCGAGTAAAAAGCAAGGACTGGCACCGTCAGGGTCTGAAGAGGATGTCAGTACCACCAGACATCTTGCAGGGTGAGTCCTCTCCTCCATTTCCCTTCCCCCACCCCCCCCCACCCCCAAACTTTTGCAGATACCAAAAACATAGTATTATATTAAATAGGCAATATGATAGACAGGCATGAGAGCTTGGCATTGCTCTTGTGCCTTTCTGGTAATACTCCTCACTCCAGCCCTGTACCTCCCTTGCTGTCCTGCCCCAAGCTCCCTCCTCCCAGCTCTCCCATAGCTCCTCTCTGCTGCCCTGTAACCAGTGCATCCTGCTTGTTCTCTTGAGTAGGGCTGCACTCTGGGGCTCAGTCCCCTCATTTCACACTAACACCTGCAACAGAGAGCTTATCTCACTTCATGCATCCCTCACCCCTCGACTTCGCATCCAGTTTCTCTTCTTGTCCCTTCTCCATGTTCAATGATCTGTCACCCTTACTCAGTAACACAGGCTATTTTTTGGCCTACCCCCAGGAATGAGTTTCATGGTGGGACTGGGTTCAGAGCTTCTGCTCATCATCTCTGCTGCCATCAGGTGGCCGTTGCGTTTTGCTGCACTTGTAGCAGCCCGTTTCCAAACAGTAAGGAAAACGCATGCGCACATACCCTCAGTAGCCCATATCTGTTACCGCATGTTTCAGTTCCAGGTTTATTTGCTACCTCCTTTTATTTTGCAACTGACACCTTTAGGTTCCAATTTGACCTTCTGAAAGAGATGATCTTCCTGAGAACATAGAATTTGAGATTACAGATAAGAATGCAAATTTGTCAGATCCAAGGTCCCAACTTGCATAGAAGCCAAATCACCGATGTCATGAATGGAAAACATGGATCTTCTGTAATGCAGCTCATTCAGACAGTACTTACTATCAAGATGCATGTCTGTTCTTTATTATGTCTTACATGATCTTTAAACATACTTGCTGCTTCTGAGCTCTTACTTAGTTTATTTTCCAAGGTCCACAACGTGCTGGATTTTTGGCACAGAGGAAAAGGTGGGGAGCGTGGAGGGGTGTAAAAGGTTTGGCAGCACTTGAATCAAGATTTATTCATGTGTTTGACCTATAAATTCTTGGTTTCAAATTCTAAAACATTCAGGGCAACAGTACTGTCTTTCCTCTGACCCGTACTTGCAGTTCAGTCTTTGGACTTTCTTCCTCCTCCTGCTTCCAATGAATTTTATGTAGAATTTCTTCATACCTTATTTAATTAAATCTCTTGCAAAACAAAAGAAAAATCCATGCTTTCCCCATTTTACATAAACAGAAGATGACTCAAGCAGCAGTTTGTGAATGCTCACATAGTACATAAATATGAGAACTGGATTACAGCATTCATTCTCAGGCCGCATCCCTTCTAAGACGCTTCACAGGAGTGACTTTGTTAGATGTCCAGCATTTCTGCCCCAGAAGTCACTGAGAGTTTTTTGGGGCTCAAGGTCCACATAAGAAAGTCTAAGACTTTCAAACATGACTAGTGACTTTGGGTCCATTGATCCTCCGATGCCTAGCCCAAGTTGCTGAAAGGGGAAAGGCAGCACCAAAAAGGGCCCACAGGCAGTGTCTTTGCTTGGGCAACTGGAGAGGGAAGCTTTTAGAGTTACTGTCATCACTGAAAGTGTCAGCCTTTATCTTTGTATGAAAAGAAAATGTGGCTATGTAACAGATGTAAAGTGTAAGTAATGTCAAGGATTATTAAAACCAGAATTTTTCTGACCCAGAAATAAAGGTCAGGAGGGCACCTGTACTCCAACCCAAGACCACCACATAGGTGGGGTATAGGTAAGTGGTATCTGTGTATCATTTGGATTGTAGCTTGACTCGAAAAACGGACTTATGTGTTTACTTTCTAATTGTCTTACATGCAGAAATTCCTTCTGTTCCTTCAGAGGAGGAAGCTCACAAGACACACAGGGAACCACCAGTCAGTTCAGAAACAGTTATATTGCGGTAAGTCTCTCAAAGGCCCCTTAGAATTTGCCCCCATCCCTGTGTAGCACTGACACTTGATGTTCTCCATTGTTCCTGAGGGACCAAAGATGACGATAAGGAGTAGAAAACTATAATAAAATGACTTAGGCCTGTGTTTCAGTCTATGCCCTCTGGGAGAGGACTCCATTGCAACAGAAGTATTCCTGTCCGTTTAGGACAGTGTTTCCGTTAAGCCAAACTTTGTTCTTTGTTAAGTAAAGCATGTGGAGCTTGAGCTTGTTGGAGAGAGAGGTCCTTGCTGTGACAGATTTGTTACGAATATTTGGATAAGCCATCTCTGGCACTGTGCTCTTCATTCACTCTTTGTTTCCAAATCCTTATTCCTGACAGAGAGAAGAAACCTGCAGACGCAATGGAGAATTTCAAACGCCGGCACTCCAAACTGATCAACTCCTGTAAGTACCTTCTGCCTGAAGTGCTGTGGCAGGCCCCTCTCCTTCATCATCTCTCACCCTTGCAGTAAGCACGAAGGAGAGGGGCTCCTGCCACATGGTGGCAAGGAGGGAGTGTTAGACAGCAATGTTCAGTGGAGGCAGTGAAACCAGGGTCCTGCAGTACACTCAGGCAGCTGGTGAGCTTTGCTTATAGCAGGTGCCTGTGGTCTAATGTATTCAGTTATCCTAATCTGAGACAGTAACAGAGTTTTCTCCAGATTGAAGCAGAGGGCGAGTAGCTGCTATAGAAAGTATAAATGTATATGTGTCTCTTCACAGCAAGATTGCTGTATCAGGAGTACAGTGATGTGGTTCTGAACAAGGCCATTCAAAGCCAGAAGAGAGTGGATTCTTTCGCAGAGGATATAGAGTCGAGTTTCCCAAGCTCCCCAAGGCTACGGAGGAAAGTGCTGTCTCCCCAGGACTCATATTTGCAACGTCTGTCAGTCTCATCTAATGCATCCCTCTGGCAGGACATCCCCATGATTCGGGGCAGCAGAATGCTACTCAATATGTCCCGTGATGAGCAGAAGCTGCAAGAGGTAATGGACAGATGTAACAAGGTAGATGGGTGGTCTGTAGTCAAGAAAGAGTCCCCAGAAGGGTGGTTAAAGTGGAGAGCAAAAATTCTGATGTGGGAGTGCAGGTGATTGAATGCAGAGGTCACCTCTACCCACGTAAGCAGTACAGGGATGTGGTACCTGTGCTTATGAAGTAGTATAGTGCTGAAGCTCAGAATTGTAGAGAAAAGGAGCACTGAAGGACGGACTCTGGACCATATCAGTAACTTTATGAAAACAGACATGGGAAAATTGGAACGAGATAAAACAAGGAATTTTGAGCATGTTCAATGCAAAAGAGAATATTATAGTAGACGACTTCCATCATTCTCGACACATAAGCTTATGTGAGATGCTAATAAAACCACAGTGAATTGTAGTTCCTGTGGTAGTGTGAGTTTACCAAATTGACCTGTGTGAGCTGCAGGGCTGAGAGGAAACAGGAAGATGTATGGGTTCAGCAAAATGGTACATAGAGAAACTGGGTAAGGAAAATGAGAGGAACTGAGAAGTGGATGGGAGGAGGACCCAGAGGAAGAGGTGAAAACAACAGCTAGGGAAACACGATGAAGGAGAAAAATGTGGGTGATGCGGATGCTGGAAAATTTATGGGAGCATGTAAAACAGGGAACCTAGTGAAAGTGGAGTTGAGGGGGAATAAAAAGTAAAATGAGAGCAGGTAGCTATTTTTCTTTTAAGTCATACCACAAGTCTGTCTTCTAGAGAAGGACAGACTGTATGTAATGGCATGCTTGCCCTTCATTCCGAAAGCCTCTCTTCTGTAATTACGCACTACTTATATCATGTACTGGGAGGTTTTCTTGCTTTGCCCCGTCTCTTCTTCGTAAGATTCCTCACAGACTTGCGTAGTCTACTGATGCTGTGCTCCCTTTTTTCATCTCTCAAGGCCAAGTTTGAGCTGATAATGTCTGAGGCTTCATACCTGCGCAGTTTAAATGTGGCAGTGGATCACTTCCAGCGATCAGCAGAGCTCCAGGCAATGCTCACCAATCAAGAGCGTCAGTGGCTTTTCTCCCGCCTTCATGATGTACGCGATGTCAGCGCCAGGTGAGATATGGCCCTTTTGCTTCCAGGACTAACACCCTCCATGAAGCTCAGACACAGCCCATCATTTCCATCAATAACATTTCTCACTCCTGTTCTGCATGTTCACTGACCTTCAGGGTAGATACACACACATAGCGCTTTGTGATTGCATACCAACACTGCCCTGAAAGGAACGTTTCCCTTTTTAGGTGACAGGGCAATGTAAATCTTGGTGTTAAGTCCCAGATATTATGGCGCAATTGTGCACAGAGCTCATGGCAGGAGATCAAAATGTTCAAAACGCTACTGTAGCCATGGCCTATTGGCTTCAACTACAACTAAACTCACCCCAAACTAAATGCAGCTCCTGCCAAATACAAGACAAAAGAAGCAGCTGCACGAGCCCTGACAAAAAAAAAAAAAGAAAAAAGAGGAAAAAAAAAAGTAAGTCACAGCCATCACTTGACAGAACCTAATGTGAATCAACTGAGCATAAGTCATAAAATGTAGACATGACCCCACATGCAAGGAATCCTGTATGTTGTAGGATTCTGTTCTGCTTTTCTCCTGCAAGGCTTGGCTATATATATCGCTAAGCTAGTAAGGTTTGCTGCTACCTTTTCCATTTCTACTGGTGGGATTATTCTGGCGATGTCTTAATTTTCAGTTGTTTCTTGACCATGCTTTTAGAAGTATGACCTCTCAGGGACAGAGGTCTTTGCCTCTGCTTCTTCCTTGCTGATATCTAGCCCTAAATTGTCATTGTACAGGCATTATGCTCTCTCTAGAAGTAAAGAGCTGTCTTGCGCTTACATGTAGGCTGTCAGGATTTTAGAGGACTGAGGCTGTTCCTGCTTTACTAAATGATACTGCTATTTTCCTCTCCTTTTATGGCACCGCCACCATGTACTGCAGTTTCCTCTTTGACTTGGAGGAGAAATTTGAGGAGGACATGTTCACCTTCCATGTGTGCGATGTGGCTCTGAAACATGCCCCTGAGTTCCGCAGGGTGTATCTACCATATGTAACAAACCAGACATACCAAGAGCAAACCTTCCAGCGGTTACTGTAAGTTTTCTTATTTGTTGCACCCTTCTCCCCCCTTACTTTGCTGCTGCACCTCGAATATTCACTCTTTCAAACAATGGGGAATGCTGCAGGTACAGGCTGTTGGCCAGTGCTCTCACTACACCCCCAGAAGAACAGGAACCTTCTTCAATTCCATGGTATTTGGGACAGCAGGACAGAGCTGCTGCAGGCTCCTCTCTATAGCATTGGAAAGGGAAAGAATAATTAATATCTGATTCTATTGCAGGCTGTTCCCTCTGTCTACTCTCTACTGAAGAGAGGAAAAAATTACTGTCCTGGATAACGGTTTTCAGACTACTAAGAACCGGAAAGTGATAATTTCAATTGAAACTTCCAACCTCAACCATTCTGTGATTCTGTAATTAAGAAAAATATGGCTGCTGTCAGTAAGCTTAAACTGACTATCCAGGAGTCTTTAAAATGGATTGAAAATCCTGGGGCCAGAGAACACTGTCGGTCTCTCTTGTTCTGGGTGGTGGAGTGGAACATCGCTTGCCCTCCTCTTCTGTACCCAATGGCACAACCAAGCATTAATCAGGCATCGCCCAGTCCTAAGCAAGGTTTCCTTGCCACTTCTGCACTGCTTCCCTTCGTAACAAACCAATTCCAGTGAAGCTACAGCCATTCCAGGAGAAGACGCTGTTCCCAACAGGCTATTCAGGCACTGTCTCTTAAGTGCTGCTGACTGGGAGAGATCTAGTCTCGCAATTGATTCCCTTCAGGGAAGGCTCAGTTCCACACAGAAAGGACCTCCAGGATATTGTCTAAGGCAACGTCTACTGGGCCTACAACCTTCTTCCCCATCTCTTCAAGGATATGGAATTGTCTATTCTAGTGGCCGTTGCCACTTTCATACCATTAGCCTCTTACCTGCTACTGCCCAGTGTGGAAAACTGGATGGCAGTGGCTGTGTCTAAGAGGGTAAGAGAGACATCAGCAGGGAAGGCAGCTGCTCTCAGGAGTAGCAAGAAAGGGGAGGCAGCTGCTTCCAGACCCTGAACACAGCCCCTGGTGCTGGACCACTCAGTGTAAGGAAAGAATACAAACCATACTGTCTTTGAGAAAGGTGCCCTACTGATAGAGGGGAATTGAAATGTAGATGTTACTTCTGGCTTTTATTCCAGAGGGCTCTGTGCAGAAAGAAGAAAGATATAATAACAGTTGTACTGCCGTCCTATAGCTGTTAGAAACCCATACTTGCTCTTCCTCAGCAGAGTGGCGTGGTTTCTTGACATCTCTTGCCCCAGGGACAAAACTTGACTGTTGGGAGTACTCCAACACTCACTGAAATCTGATATTAGGAAGACTGTTTATTTGCTCTAATGCCTGGATGTCTTTCTTTACCACTCCCACAGAAATGGAAATGCAGGGTTCCAGCAAGTCCTGGAGAGACTGGAAAGTGATCCAGTATGCCAGCGCCTCTCACTTAAATCCTTCCTCATCCTCCCCTTCCAGCGTATCACTCGACTCAAACTCCTCCTGCAGGTAACTGTTGATTCTCTGCTTTCCTACAGTTTCTCTCAAGCTGACCCTTTTTCAAGTCTGAAAGTCACATAAATATGAGCTAGCTCCAAGCACTGGGTGGAAGGACTGCATACAGCCCTTCGTGTGCATCTGTGACAAGTTTGGCAAGAAGCGCTAAAGCCACTCTGTCGCGTATATTGTGAATATGCCTTTGCAAAAACAAACTCGTTTGTCATCGTACAAATGCCTGCTGTGCATTAGACCAGCACCATGAGTTGGATATGATAGCCTGTGTGAGGCAGTGCAGTTTGTATACCAGTTAGGACTTTGTTGCAACACTATTTCAATTGTACTCCAATAAATAATTTATGCAGTCTTCTCAGAACATGTTAATTTACATTTTATTGAACCTTTTTGGCTTCCTGCTAGGAAAACAAAGCAAGGGTTCCTTGGCTGCCCTCTCTACTCTTTACCTGCAACGTTGACTAATAGGAACCTTCTAGACAGGGAACCAGCAAGTCCCTTATGAATTAATTTTGAGCTCTTTCTGTGAAATTCTTCTTTTTGATTATTTGAGCCTTTTTTTAACAGGAGAAAAGGAGTATCAGGAGTATACGCACAATTCTGTGCGTAAGGCCATTTGTGCTTCGATTAGTGATTGCTTCCTATGTCATGTAACTTGTACCTGATAGTTGATACGATTCAGATTTTCAGGGATGCCCTGTTCAATACAGCTTATCAGTGACATTCTGCATCTCAGATTTCTGGCCTTGTTATCTCCACACCTCATCACCTACCACTGCTTTAGTTTCCCTTGAGGCTGGCATCTTGGTGTCTCCTTGTTTCTCCTACCCCTCCCAGATACGTATGTCCACCTTTCCCTCTTTGCATCATGAAAAACATCTTTTCTCCTGCAGAATATCCTGAAAAGAACTCGGCCTGGGTCTGAGGAGGAAGTGCAAGCAACACAGGCCTATGATGCACTTGAAAAGGTAAGGACGTCAACCCGTTCTGCAGCCCTGCAGAAAGGGATCTGGGGGTTTTGGTTGATGGTATCCTCAATACGAGTCAACAAAGTGCCCTGGCAGCCAAAAGAGCCAACTATATCCTGGGGTGCATTAAGCACTGTATAACTAACCAGTTGAAAGAAGTGATTGTCCCACTATACTCAGCATTGGTGTGGCCTCACCTCGAGTACTGTGTGCAGTTTTGGGTTCCACAGTATAAGAAGGGTGTAAAAATACTAGAATGTGTCCAAAGGAGGGCAACAAAGGTGGTGAAAGGACTAGAGGGCAAGATTTATGAGGAGTGGCTGAGGATACTCAGTTTGTTCAGCTTAGGGGAGACTGACGGGTGACCTCATTGCTGTATACAACTTCGTCATGAGGGGCAGCACAGAGGGAGGTGCTGATCTCTTCTCTCTGGATGTAAGGGAATGGATTAAAGCTGTGTCAGGGGAAGTTCAGACTGGATATTAGGAAAAAGTTCTTCACTGACAGGATGATCAAACACTGGAACAAGCTTCCCAGGAAAGTGGTCATGGCCCAAGCCTGACGGTGTTCAAGAAGTGTTTGGACAACACTCTTAGATATATGGTTTAACTTCTAGTTTGCCCTGCGTGGAGTCAGGAGTTGGACTCGATGATCCTCGTGGGTCCCTTCCAACTCAGGATATTCTGTGATTCTCCACAGCCATGTTGCATCACACAGCTGCAGGGCACCGAAGTGGCCCAGTCCTTTTCATTGATCCTCATCCTTGTCGAGGGCCCTTGTCATTGATCCTCATGAGTAACAAATTAGTGTGTTCATGTGACTCTCCTGCACATGCAGTGGTAGCTGTGAGTAGAAAACACTAAAGCAGGAGCCAGCTGGGATGCGACTGAACCTGCACAATGATATTGAAATACTTTTTTCAGGACTCGCTCTTTCCATTCTCCTAACCACCCTTCCCCCTTGCTGTTCCTTACCTTTGTCTCTAATTAGGGATCAACTCCCACCCTAGCCCCTGCAAGAGAATTTTGCTTTAAAAAAAAAAAAAAAAGCCTGGCAAGACATTACTCTACTCTGTTGCATCCCTTCCTCTATCCTATTTATTACCGAGACCAGATTTAAAGTCTTCTGGGACAACTTGTTATCTAAAATTTGTACAGCAGCATAAGGTAGACTTATTCCTAGCTAGCTCCTGTTCTGTCTAGTGATGATTTGACCTTCTTGGAGTGTCACTCCCTTCCTTACAGTCTCTCCCCTTTTCTCCACCACAAACCTAAAGACCAGTTCAACAGGATGCATACCTCCTTAAAGCTCTTAGGACTCAGCTGTGTGCTGCACAGCTCCCAAAGCACTGTAGTCTGAGGTGGGTGGGCAAGATGTCCTAAATCCTTAGACTCCAGCTGTGTTCAAGCCAGCTTTATCTCTGTGACACTGTTAAGCAGCTGCCCTGTATGACCTCAGGCGGCTACGTAGGCAGCTTACAGGCTGAAGTACCTCTGTTTCATTGTGTCCTGTCCAGGTACTGGCAACAAGCTCTGGGTTGTGGAAGGTCGGGGCTGATGTTTATCTAATCAGCCTCCTGTGTTTACAGTGGAGCATCTAGTAAGAGCTGCTTCCAAATGACCAGCAATTCAACCTTTGTCACCTGAGACAGATGTCTCTAGTATTCCCCCCAGTATCCCAAAGTTAAAGCAATACTTATCACAGAGACTTCATCTAAAGAATACCTTCTTTAAGAAAGAAGGATGATCATTGTAGGTATTGAGAAGTTCAGTACGCTGGCCTGCAAAAATACTTTTTTTGCAGGATGCCTAAGGAATTGTCACTTACACAGACTTTAGGAGCTCCTGGGAGTAGTACTGATCCCACCAGGCAGTTCTGCTCCCACCTCACTGAGGGTCTGTTTTCCTCTGCAGCTGATCAAGGATTGCAATGAAAATGTCCAGCGCATGAAGAGCACTGAAGAGCTGATCTACCTCAGCCAGAAGATTGAATTTGAGTGCAAGGTGAGGTCGTCCATTCCTTGGGCCTTCCTCTAGCCTAATGTATTTTCTCTCTTTCCTCACAAAGTCACTTGCGCTTACTTATTGTTCTCCTTTCCAATATACATAGAACTGTTGAACCAGAGTATCATACACAGGTCAGCTCTTCATCAGTGCTTCCCTTGCCCAATCATTCCTGTCAGCCTTCAGCTGAAGGTGCCTACCATGACTTAAGCCTGTCCAGCTGGAGAGGTGAAAGTGCACTTCCTCTAGAGAAAGGGGAAAATGCAAATCCAAAACTCACGAATACTGATTTCCTTGTACATGCTTGACATAAATGTTTATTTCTGTCTTGCAGATATTCCCACTCATCTCACAGTCGAGGCGACTTGTGAAGTGTGGTGAGTTGACAGCACTGGACTTCAACACCCTGAGTCCAAAATGGAAAGTCACCACCCGTCCCATCTACCTACATCTTTTCAATGACTGTCTGCTCCTGTCTCGGCCGAAGGAGTGAGTGCTTCAACACAATTCTTGCTGCCCCTTCTAAAATACCTGTCTCTTTCTGGGTCTGTGCTTTGGTGAAAGAGTCCTTTCCCTCTGCCTGCCAGCAAGTGGCAGCATTTGTCAAGTCACTCTCCTAACCCTACATTATGTGAGTATCATGCAAGTATGTGGAATCTGATATTCCCAACTCTTAATGACAACATGTGATAATATAACAAGGTATCTTCTGGTCCCTAGTGCAACACTTCTATTCTGCCTCTCCACCTCTATAATGTGAAACACTTTAATAATAACCATTTATTCTAGTTTTACTTGATAAATAATTTCTTCCTAAATGACAGTATGAAGATTAGTGAATGTGCAAATCACTGGTTTGTCAAGAAACTAAGAGAGTTGGTTGGTTGTGCTGGGGTTTTAGGGGATGGTGGTGGTGGTTTTGTTTTTTAAGCTGTAAGCTATCAAATAAAATTCTGACAGGACAGAGCTTAGTATTTCTATCCATTTCATTAAGTCCCCTCTCTTCTCTGGCCTCCTGAGACTTCTAGCAAGAACAAAGCTTAAGGTGCCTGAAGCAGATGAAGACTCATTAAAAGCTTTTTGCTTTCCTGACATCAGAAAACAACATGGACTCACTTTGTAACCCTCATCACCTTAAAACTCACAACTTCTTTTGTTCTTCCTCTTTACCTGCAGGGGTGGACGTTTTGTTGTGTTTGATCATGCCGCTTTCTCAGATGTGCGTGGGGAGAAGTGCGAGATGAAACTGCATGGAACAAACAAAAATGTTTTCCGTCTCTTTCTACTTCAGAATTACCAGGGAAAGATTTCGTACAGAGACACAGTAAGAGCTCAAGGTTACCCTCAGTATATCCCATTACCATAGCCAGACACCTCCTAGGAGACTGATGGTTGTCCCTCAGCTACCCAAATGCTGAAATATCAAATGCAGCTGCTGAGCAGAGGACTTGAAAAACATCCTCCTGTCATAACAAGCCCCTAGTGACCCACCTTGCTCCTCTCTCATCATAGCTGCTTATATAATATTACCACGTAATGTCATACCATCAGCCTCCAAAAATGGGAGGTTTTGCCTTTTCCCATCCCCTTTCTCCACTTCCACTTTCTCTGCTTTCCCTAAATAACCCTTCCCTGACCCCTCCTGTGAGCAAACCTGCACACACACACCCCCATTCTTGTCATCAGACTTCTATTCCTCACATTGAATCCTGACACCTATCTGGTGATGTTTTCCAGCAGTGAGAAGCTGAGGTGGATCTCTGCTTTGGCTCCTCCACGAGGAGAACTGGATCTCCTGGAATGCCCTGGTGAGACTTCTCTGCTACTACACCAATGGGGGTGGTCTGGCTCAGAGGAGTTGAAGTTACTGTGAGGTGGAACATCCCAGAAAATACTCCAAGGCAGAATACTTGCCTTTTTGTAAATAAATAAGATATTCATGGCCTTTCCCTCAGTGCCAGGTTCTGCCAGTTATTTTACCTATTTTTACTCCTCATATTAGGTAGACGACCTGTAGTTTCCCTTCCAGTTCTCTGCTCTTTAGTGTTTGGGCAGTCCCTTATCCCCTGCTTCCTCTGGGGCTGATGCACACAGGTTGACTGTTGCTTTCTGGTATACCATTATGATCTTTCCTCTCCTTTAGATGCACCACAGGTTCAATGCATAAAGACTTACAAGGCTCGGGAAAATGATGAGCTGGCTTTGGAGAAAGCGGATATCATCATGGTTATGCAGTACAGCAATGATGGTGAGCAGAATGAACAATGGCTATCTTAAATTACGGGTAGGAAGTACAATCAGGCTTCAGAAGGAGCCTCTCATTCCTGATTGTTGGATTGAGAGGATGAAGAGACTCTTCATTAAGACACTTCATTAGGAAGCTGAAAGGGATTCTTTTTCTTTAATCTTAGGGCCTTCTTGGAGGGGGCGTTTTGGGAAGAAGGAAAAAATGTTTGACTTGTCTTGCTTCATGTTGTGCTTTTCCCCACGCTGCAGGATGGATGGAAGGAGTAAAACTTTCAGACCGGGAGAGAGGCTGGTTCCCCTCAGAACACGTGGAACTCATCTCCAGCAAACATGCGCGGCAGAAGAACCTGAAGGAGGAACAACGTGTGAAGAATGCCAAGCAGCAGGTCTTTTGCAAGAAATAAGACTCTACTTTGTTGGACCTGTACAGTCTCCCTGCCATGGGGAAACCATCTTTTTTCTATTGCGCCTCAGAAGAAACACCTCTGCGAAGAGCATAATACAGCACTTTGACAGAACCAGGTGCTTTTTGCCAAAGAAAGCAGGAATTCAATCAGGAAAAAATCATTCACTTCCTCTGTGTCACCAGGACTACGGCAGCAGTAGGAGGAAAAAAAGTTGCATGTATTGCTTGCTTTGTGGTAGTAGGGAGGGACTTTAATCGGTCAGAGGTCTGGGATCTGGACTTCTGAAAATATATTCCTGGTTTTGCCACTGACAAGTTGCAGGACCTTGGGCAAGTCACTACAGAATTCTGCCTCAGTTTTCCCATCTGTGAAATGGGGGTAAACTTACCTACCTCACTGGATGTTGTGAGGCTAAATTCACTAGTATTAGCATTAGCTTTGAGTTCCTGAGAAGGAAGGTGCTAAGTGCAAAGCACAATGTAATTGAGGAGAGTTTTCCATTTGAATATCCTCTTGATATCTTGATGGTGTTGATCTCCATAGTGTAATTTCCATTTAGAACAATTTATCTATTTGATCGTGCAAGTCTACTGTTTTTCAGACAGGCAAATATTTCATTGTACCTAAATTTAACTCAGTCTCAGCATACTGTTAAGAGTTCTTGACAGCATTAGAAAATCCACTTGAATTAAGCGAAGTTTTCAGAAGCTACTGGTATGATTTCCCCCACCTTAAGAGGTATCAAGCTGAAGAATCTGTTTCACAAAGGTCACCTCTCTTCTGAACAAGTGTCCCAGTAAGCCATCTGAAATAGCCCTTTTTTACTCTGCCTCCCACTCAAAGTAGAACAGTGACTTTTGACAAAGATTTTTATTACATGTTGGTACATGCTCTGTACAAAATAACCATGACTAGGCATATGCAATGAAGTGGCACTTTCCTGCTGCTCTTAATCTGATAGCTGATGTGGTATTGCATGCACCATTTTGCACACTTATAGAAAATACTGAGATATTTAGCCACTGTAGATAAAGTCAAAATATGTCAAAAACCAGAGACTTTGTTCTTTTTTAGAACTCTCTGGTTTTAAGTCCAGTTTACATGCAGTCCTGCTTTTGTGCAGAACCTGTCTATTTGAGGACATGTCTTCAACTGTAAAATACTGTTTCTGTGTTAAAGTGTTTGCCTTCAGTTCAGTCAATGCAAGATCAAGTATAAGAATCAATACACCAAAGAAAGCAACGTGTAGCCTTCTTGCATTTAATATATTTGAAGAATTAGTTATCTTCATATCTCCAGCTTTCTGTCTCTGTAACATTCTGCCTTTAATTCCCATTTACGTTGTATCTAGTATAGCTTATTACAGCCTATTTATATCAATAATTTTAGCTGGATTAAAAAAAAAGTTGCTTTTAGTCCTAATAAACTCATGCACTTATCCAGTTAAAATAAACAACTTACTTTCCTTGTGACTTATATTTGAGATGAAAACCTAAGTAATTCAGTATTTAGTGAATATATATTCAGTATTTTCATTATTTTTTCCATATAACTCTCCTTTCTAAGTGAATATTAAATACAAATAGCTATACTTAGCAGAGGCACTGAAGAAAGCTTGCTTTACCAGGCATACCCTAAGATTCTTCAGAGCATTAATCACCAGCCCTGAAGCGACTGCTGCTGCAAGTTCTGTAGTGGTGTTAGTCATCAGTATATCAAAGTAAGCTAAAGGGATGACCTACGGAAGATGGGAGTCCTGTCCACTATACCAGTAAGACAGGATGGATGCAATTATTTGATTGTCTTTTAATCTATGGTCCAGACTACAATCTGCCTACACTTTTTTTTTCCCCTAGAAGAACTGAAGCTGGTCCCTAGCTAAGAACCTCAAACTAAAATAAGTGATATAAGAAGAGTTACAATCCTCAACAAGACCCATGAACTATCTGCTTGTCCCAGGTTGTTATGAATTTATGCAATACAGAAGTCATCAGGATCAACAGTGTCTCAACCCAGGTACAGAACACTGCCATGGGATCAATTCAGTACGTGCCCACATGCCTGTCTTATGCAGGCAGTCTGAGGCATCCCATATCCATGTTCAGCTTCACCTTTGCTACTTGTGTCATGAGGAGGCAGTCCATAGATATTGCCATTCTAAATCAGAAGTCATCTTGTTAAACACTTTAAAAGTCAAGAATTCTTTACTCTTTCTACTTCTGCTCTCAAAAACAAGCAGGCATATTGTTCATTGGAGTCTCCCAAGGTAGTTTCTATGTTAAATTCCATATGTTCTTGTTAATACTCTTGTTGAGATAGGAAACTTCAAGGCCACTGTTGTTATGACTGACAGGACTTCTATACTGTTTAACTAGTTGGATCAAAGGTTAACTTCTCCCTCTCACAGGTACAGCCTTTATTTCCTGTTGTCATGTTTTTGTATGTTTAGGAACATTTAAAGGTCAGCTTATGCTTCTAAGAATAAGTGCTTATACCCTGGTTTACTTTGATTTCTTATGTTTCAGATAGGCCTCAACTTCTCACTATTTAGTTAAATTTTTAGCCCCAGCACCATCCTGCCACCAAAATCCGTAAACAAATCTGCCCTGAATTGCTTCATGCTTTTTGAAACTGATTAATATCTCCTTGGTTTGTACAAACTTAATCAAACTAGTACAATATCACTTACTCTGTCTTGATTGTGCAGTTGTATCTGCTGTGTCCTATTACAGTCTGAATTATGAGTCAGATCTCTCCCTACGTTATCTAATGTGGATAACTTGACTTCCCAGAAAATCAGTATTAAACAGAAATAGAAGCGCAGCGTTCGTCAGCCAAGTCCCTATACTTTTCTAGTAAGATCCCCAAAGAAGGTCCACAGAGTAGGAACACTGTATGAGAGATGCCAGTGTAACTTAAACAGCTGGCTGTAAACTGAAGCCATGAAGAAACCATCATCTTCCACAGGAACCTGTGGAGACTGCTACATAGCATATCTGGGCAAAAGAAATTCAGTACTTCTATACTGAAAAAAAAAAATTAAAGACAGCTTTTAGAGGGCAGTTACACTCATTTCTTTTTGTGGTAAGAACAGCAATGAAATACAAGCATGAACTACATTTTTAAAGTTTTGTTGAGAATCTGAGAAATTCACAGTTTATGTCTGAAAATCAAATGTTATGACTGTCATTTTTTCATATAAAAAAGTATAAAATATATATGTGGCTCTAAAAAAAAAAAGCCCACAGCCCTGGAGACCTATGTTGGTCCCTCCTAAAGGAAAATAAATGAAACCATTCTTCGCAGTTCTTACTCCGTTTCACAATACTAGAAAAAGCTGACATTGGGACCAGAGTTCAGTAAATAAACACAACCTTGCTCAGGATCCTCTAAAGCAGTTAGTGAGTTTTATCCTTCCGCTTTTATCTAATACTGAAGAGGTCCCATCCCCTCTAAGATCAGAGTTGTATTTTTTCAGCTGAATGCTGCCAACAAATTAAATGCCATTTTAGCCACAATAACATTCCAGCCAGCATGTCTTGCATTTGGTGGCTGAACCAGGTGCACTGTTAGATTAATTACACTGTCTCCAAAATGCTGGCACATGTTTCAGGTTACACTCATTTAACATAATGAAACTACTCTCAGGTGAAAGCACCTGAAGAAGCAGGACCTTCGATGCTCGAGCGAACCTTGAAACAAAGACAGGGCATATGGGGAAGTGCACAGTAGGAGAATGGTGCCCTGCCAGCAATGAGATGCTGAGCCAATCACCAAGATGAGGATGAAGGATGTTCTGTCCTCGTGCAGCAGAACACAATTAAGCAAACCACATTCTTCAAGCAAGCACTGTCTTTGCTGTTTGCAGACACGCAAGTTGTGCTTACAGCCAGCTGCACTTCACTTGGTGGTTAGGAAAGCTGTATACAGAGGATGCAAGACCAGAGGGCTTGTTTCTGGAACCACCACGACCTAATTTGCAACACAGGTCTCTCCATCAACTGCACGTGAGAAGAAAGTCGGAAAAGCCAGGCTTGGTTCACTCCTGCCCTTCATCTCGTGTAGACACCTGCAAGCGCACGAAGCTGGTTTAAATGTTACCTGGGCAGATGACAACACTTGCAGTAGTGTGAGATCACTAATTGCCTGGTACCACTCTGTTAAGAGCCTTGTTTTTTCTAAGAATTGTTAAGTATTGAAAGAATGCAAAATTACAGCACCTGAAAGTCAAGAAGTGCAATTTATTTCTTGCAGCCACTAGTTTATGGAGTATGGAGAATCAGAAGCACTGCTAAACAACTGCAGCCAGAGCACATGAAAAAAATGAATGCCTTCCTGCCAGCCCACAAGGAAAGATCATGAGGTTGATCTCATTCGTATTACATGATCCAATTGTGTAACATCTGGGTTTCCAAGGCATGCTATTAGCGGTATTTAAGCCCGCTCCCCACAGGAGCTCACGAAAGCACAGCCTTTCAGGTGTCCCCAGATGTGCCAGAAACTTTTCTGTACCCTACGTGCGGGGGGCAGGCTTCTCCCCCCTCGCAGACCGGCTCTCTGGCCCCCCACAGCCAGGCTGCGAGGGAGGTCAGGCGCCTTCCCGCACGGCGGCCCGCAGAAGAC